TTGGTGTGTATATAACTGAAAAACAACTTATATATAAGGTTTGCTACTATCCGTGGTTTCAGTATCTGCGGCAGGTCCTTGGAACATATCCCCTGTGGATACGGGGGTCCTATTGTATGTTGGTTAATGAAGCATGACTTTGGGGATGGAAGGAAATAAAGTACATTAAGTGCAAATACCTTTGGTCAGTGTTTTAGCAGACAAGCAGAGGTGTTTGCCACTGTTTGTGACTACTGTACCTGTTTGTAGCTACAAGAGCAGGTCTAATCTTCTGGTGCTCCATGTCAGTATTCAGTCTATCATAAACTAAATGATCATATTTAAAAAATCAGTGCATTTCATAAAAAAAAATATAAAATCAATCCTTATTATTGATTCACAGATAACCCACATGTAAAGAGAAAGCTTTAGATGATATTTCAGTTTGTCACAGTTGAGCAAGTAAAAGTATAGAAGACCGAGACAGGCCAAAACATTTACAAAAGTTTCCGGTCTAAGTGTGGGTTATTTATGAATTATTCCTACCATGGTATTGTAACTTTTATTGATTATTTTTAATTTTCCACAATGTACAAAAATCCACATTTTGTATTTATTTTTTCCATAAAAATATGACCATCCTCCACATTCACCAAAAGAATTGCATTTAGTCGAAAAACAACAAGAGTTAGAATAAATTTCAAAGTTTAATCTTAAATTGTACACACACTACTTCCTACAGTGGTCCCATCACACTGCAAAAATGTAAAGGTGCCCTGCAGTGGTTTTGTGGTGCATAAAATGATGAATCTTTTATGAACCCCATCAGTAAAAGACTGAAATTAATGAATAAGGATGTACTGTAGTGAATACAAAAGTCTTTCTGTAATCAAGAAATTTGTATATTTCAAGTGGTTTTTAGAAAGCTACAAAATAATTTTTTCAAGAAATTGGCATGGCCTTCTTCCTTAATATGCCCCTCCCCCTTCTTTTTTTTTTTTTGTTTTGTTTTACTGCACCCTTTCTTGGATCCCATTACAGCAGTCTTCTGCTATTTGTGAAGAAATATTTTCTGTTGTCCTGGCACCACTTTTTTTTTTTTTTTTTTTTTTCTGTTTAATAATTTAGCCTCATGTTTTCTTCTCTGTGTACATTACTAAAAATGTTAATTATTTTCCTTTTGTTTGTATTCTTCTATGATCTTATATAGTTATCATGTCTCTTTTGCCTCCTATTTACTTATGGAGGCATTTTCAGTATTTTAAAATTTTCTTTGTAATTCATATTTTTTTTCTTCTGGGGGCTATTTTGTAGCATGCCATTAGACTTGTTTTGTAGTATGTTATTCAGTAAGGCCCCAACTTATGAACATGTAGGTTAGGCTGGTCAGCACTTACAAACAAGGCCCAAAGGACATAATATTGTTAAAATATTTGTTTTATAAATACCAGTTTTAAGTTCTGGAAGTGGGAAAGATAGTGCCTGCTCTCCGAAGGAGAGGTGAAGGTGTTGCAGTCAGAGGGTTATCTGAATTGTGATGTCTTTACATGTCTGGCAAGAGAGTGATTGAATGAATGATGGTCAGTGTGTTTCCTTCTTTGGTGACCTTGCCTTGGCAGAAGACTGCCATTGAGTTTAAAAAAAAAAAAAAGCTTTAAGGGTTACAGACAACTTGATCGTAAATTGAAACACCGGGAGCACAACTTATTCATAAGTCAGGGCCTTACTGTAGTGTGGACACCACACTACCAATGTATAGTCATATTTAAGCTTAACTTGTACTGTGAACAGTTTATGAGGCTATTTGATATTGGCCAGCAAAATGTAACATATGAGCTTCTCACTACTCTGATATGATCATCTGATAACACTCTGTTGTCTGCAATTTTCCCAATTCTCTATAATTCTCAAGCTCGATATTTATTTTTTTTTTTTTTTACATTCTATATTAATGTGTTTTTTTTCCCTCTCTCCCATTTCAACTATGTGACATTTGCCTATACGTACAGTGGACCCTTGGTTATCGGCCATAATTCATTCCAGAGGGTTGGCCTAAAACTGAAATGGCCGAAAACCGAAATAATATTTCCCATAAGAATTAATGTAAATACAATTAATCTATTCCAGACACCCAAAAATATTAACAAAAAATACATATTTCAAAGATTAACTATAGTTTTACATACACAAAACAATGAGAACTAAATAGAATGACTAATGAATTGGATAAATGAACAATTAAATCACTTTAACCTTTATTTAAGAGTCTTGTTGGCGTATGCAAAACAGCAAGGAGCGGAGAGGGAGGCGAGTTTATTGTTTGGAGACAGGACAAAATACTTAACCCTTTGAGGGTCGACAGGCCCTCTCCGAAACTCGTTCTCAGGGTCAGCCAAATTTAAAAAAAAAATAATAATTTTCTCTTACGAAAAGATAGAGAATCTTTTCCCGATCATAAGGACACCAAAAGTTTGAAATTTGATGGAAAACTTACAGAATTATGCTATCGCGAAGTTAGCGGTCTCGGGGATATTTACGCATCGGCGATTTTGCCCACTTTGAGCCCCATTTTCGGCCAATTCCACTGTACTAGTCGACAAAAAAACATGAATATTTCGCTAGAACTCCATTTTTTCTATCGAATGGGTGCAAGAAACCACCCATTTATGAAATTCAACTATCCAGTACAGTGGTCAGAATTTAGCAATTTTGCCAATTTCATACAAATTTCAAAAGATGCCAATTTCCGAATAGGGTCCAGAATAAACAAGAAAGACATTCTTGGCACTAAAATGACATTTCCTCTGGTCATTAGTCACGTCTCAAGGTCCCTCTTATATTCTTTTGCTTTCCACTTTGAATTTTTATTCTCACAAAAAAATATAAGATTTACTGTTATGCAGACTACTGCATTAGTGTAAAAAATGGTATAAATATTATTGGCGCACTTGTGAAAGAATATTAGACTCACCAGTTGACGTGTATTGGACCATTGGCACAATTTGTTTAATTTTGAAATTTGGTAAAAATCAAACATTTCTGCTACTTTGAGCTCAATTTCAAGGTATCTTTCATTATAAAACCAGTCAAAATCATCTCAATTTCTGTAATATGTCTTCCATTCTATAAAATGAGACCAAGAAAACTAGAATACAACAATAAATACCATACGAAAATACAGTGCAAAGTCGCTGTTTTATTCCAAAAAAACGGTCAAAGTTTTTTTTTTCTCATTATGCACTGTGTGCTGCAGGATTTTTTTTAGACTGTGCACACTGACCACATAGACCCATTCTTTCATATGAAGGCCTACCAGCTTTCTCCCACTAGATTTGAGGGCGCTAGAATTTAGGTGTACTAGTACGTCAAAAACCTTGGGTCGTAAGCCGTACTAGTACGTCCGAAACCCTCAAAGGGTTAAATATGATGGTCTTGTCAATGCTACAGCTTATTTATCTATCACAATTCATCTAATATGACATAATGAACAATATTAATAACATTGAAACATGATATTACTATAGAATGAATAAAATATGTCATTACGTAGTAGTGGTGGTGGTGGTGTTGTTGTTGGGTTTATAAGGACCACTGACAGCATAAGCCGTATATATAGTGGTGGTGGTTGCGGCAGCAGAGGCCACCACCACTTTTCACACTGAAACAATGTACATGTAATTTATAAATAAAAATATTTACACTTTAATTTATAAATAAGAAATATTTACACTTATAAATAAGAAATATTTGCACTTTATAAATAAGAAATATTTACACTTACCTTGGAGGAGATGCTGGCATTGGTTTAGGGTGGTGGAAGATATGCAGGGTGGCGTATATTGTCAGTGGCCGTATATACCTGTATATATTACTAAATTTAAAAGGAGAAACTTTCGTTTTCCTTTTGGGCTACCCCACCTCAGTGGGATATGGCTGGTACGTTGAAAGGAAGAGGAAGAAGAACATTGAAGGAGTCAGTTTCGTGTCATCTTTTTTCTATCACTTAATCGCTTAACATACTTGCTACACTGTTAATTCTACACTTTATCACTGGCTGGTGCTATAGCCTTGATCGACTCCTGCTGCTTTAGTATTGTACATATCGTAGAATCACTGAATCCCTGAAGAAGGCACATTCTCCCCTCTCTCTTCCTCCTTCACTTTTGTACTACTTTGCTAAGAGATCTTTCTTGAATTCTATCATGTTTCTTACTTTCTTTACCAAAGGGCTGGCACTAGGAACTTTCTTTAGGCCTATGGAGGCTTATTTTGCAGTTGCACTCAGTAACCACAAAAAACAATGGATTATAGCGAAATGTTTGGATGAATGCGCGGAATCTTCCTCACTCACCCAGAGAGACAGTCAGACTGACTCATGAACACGGCAGAGCGGTGGGTGGATGCGTCCAATACGGTCGTTCTCTGAAATAACGGCTGATAACTGGGATAGAATTTTGGCCAAAAAAGTGGGCGAGAACCGAATTGGCCGATATCTGGAACGGCCGATAACCGAGGGTCCACTGTAATAATTCCATTATTCATTGATATTTCACACTTGTTTAGTTTGACAGTGGCCTCTCTCAGAAATTTGCAGTTATTTTGTCTTCACCTTTTGCATAAAATTTTTTGCCTTGTCCTCACTTCCTATACAGTAAGGTAGTCATTTAATTTGGCAAATTACAGTATTTACATTAATTAGAAATATAATTGAGTAAGTACTCATCCTTGTGTGTACCCCTTTGTGACATTTTTCCATGAGGGTAGTTTTTACCTGCTTTTAATTACACACTACTGCATATTCAAAACATAAGAATATATTTTCACTGGAATAATCAGGATTCAAAACAACAGTCTGGGATTACCAGCCTGTTTCATTAGTCCACTGTACTGCAGAATGACAAGCAAATAATCCCAGACCATGAATTTGAATCCTGATCACTCTGTTGAACTGTTGCATTTATTTATTACAAATTTTCAGCACAGCAATATATACTGTATGTACATATGTACATTACTTTCAGATTCACTGACTCCTGCTCTGGAGCCAGTCAAACCATTTCCCAATCCCCCTACTCATGAGCCAACAGTGGAAGTGCAAGAGTTTCCAAGCAGCCACATCGACGACATCCATCCATATGTGAGCTACTGCAATCACTTGTATGTGTATCCCCACTTCTTGAATTATGAGAATCAGAAGAGTTTCAGTCGAGCCAGAAATTTGGTTTGCACTGTTGAACTTCGGGACTCTGATGCAGAAGGTGCTACTCCATTGCGAGCAATCTATGGGCGTCCAGGTTCAGGAACCTTGATGGCTCAGATGTCAACGGTAGTACTGCACCACAACACCTGGCCTGAGTGGGGTGATGAAGTGAAGATTTTGTTACCTCACAATCTTACTTCTTTGCACCATCTTCTCTTTACCTTCTCACATGTTGCTATCGAGGCAGCCAAAGCAGGAAAGAGAGATGTGCCAGTTGAAACAGTGGTTGGATATTCATGGTTACCACTCACATTAAAAGGAAGAATTATCACAGAAGAGCAAATCCTTCCTGTAGCGTCTCACTTGCCAGCCAAGTACCTCTCTATTGAACCTCTTGGCCTTGGGAAAGGAGTAAGTTATTTAATTTCATTGCTTATTTAACTTCATTACTTTTTGTTAAGTCAGTCAAAACTATTTTCCTTTACCAATATATATTTTTGTGAGGATTTGAATTTTTCCTCATTAGTCATTTTCCACCAAAGCCAGTTGATTTCCCTCTCCCTAAACATTTTTTTTAATTTCCAATATTTTTGGTATAATAGATTATTGCTTATCCATTGATAGGTTATTCAGCTTCCAACATTATTCAGTGTTGTTCGATCCAGCACCAGTTAAATAGATAATGCAGGGAAGGAATGTGAAAAACAGAGACCACATAAAAAATGTGATCAACATGTGTTATTGTAAATCTAGTGCACCTCTCCTTCTTGTAAAATGGCTGGACAAATGATGAAAGGCAATTGGCATTTTGCTTCTAGCATTTTAAGCATCTAAAAATTACATTGTTTAACTAGTTTGAGGTTATCTGAACATCATTCTCAGGTTTATAGAGAGTAATCATCCATAAATGTAATACAGGAGAGCCCTACTTTACAGTTCTCCACTTTACAGTGTTTTGCTAATGCAGCAGTTTTCAGTTACACCCATTCATTATTTATTCCGACTTCCTAAAATAAATATATTCTCCACTCACTATAAGCTAAGGACGAAAATATTTTAAGTAGGTAATACGTGTACTGTATGTGCATTTTTAAGATCTAGCTCTATTGCTCACTTAATATATGATAGTGTAAACATGTTACTGGACTTTTATATATATTTGAAAGTGAAAGCTGCTGTACAGCGATTTTTACTTTACAGCAGTAGCCTGAAACCTAATCTGTTGTATAAGTGGGGCCTGTCAGTACAGTGGTTCCTCAGGATACTAACAGCTCAAAACTTTAATTTTTTTTTTTTTTTCAACAAGTCGGCCGTCTCCCACCGTATTTATGTAAGTGGCTTTGTAAGTGTATTTTTGGGGGTCTGAAACGGATTAGTCTAATTTACACTGTTCCTAATGGGAACAAATTCATTCGGTATCGGCACTCGAACAGCCTTCCGGAGCGAAATAAATTCGTATCCCGAGGTACCACAGTACTTTTATTTTGTTTCAGACCACCAGTCATCTTCCACTAACATACAGAAACTTACAAAGAAATACTTTTATTATAAGTCATTCAGTACATGGTTGTCTTACCAGAAGTATGCAGATATAATTCAGATGACTTGCAACATCCACACTCCTTTTCAGAGTGCAGGCCCCCTAGGACTCAAAGTTCATATAATCTGTTTTCCTGAATCCCTTCATAAAAGTTGCTTACAGTCTGCTATATGAATGTAAAATGGAAGCCTATTAAATGTTTTGCACCTTGGCAGGATTGTTGATCTTTTTTTTTCTCATTTTCTTTTTCAATAAGTCGGCCATCTCCCACCAAGGCAGGGTGACCAAAAAAAAAAAAAAAAAAAATCCTCAAAAAGAAAATACTTTCATCATCATTCAACACTTTCAACTCACTCATACATAATCACTGTCTTTGCAGAGACACTCAGATATGACAGTTTAGAAGTCCCTCCAAACTGTCAATATCCCAGACCCCTCCTTATAAAGTGCAGGCATTGTACGTACTTCCCATTTCCAGGACTCAAGTCTGGATAAATCTATAATAACAGGTTTCCCTGAATCCCCTCACTAAATATTACCCTGCTCACACTCTAACAGCTCGTCAAGTCCCAAATACCATTCATCTCCATTTACTCTTATCTAACATGCTCACAACGCTACAATTGCTAGACAAAACTATTTGCGTACCAGTAGTAGTTAAAAAATGATTAATTCCCAGTATTAAAGGTTGAAAAAAAAAATGAGTTGAACAAATATGGCAGTTAAGTTTATATGTTAAGGTTACTCCTACAATCCATCTATGATCTGAAAATTTTATTGTTTTTTTAGTGTTGACTGAAATAGTATATTCTTTCTTTCAACAAACCGGCCATATCCCACCAAGGCAGAGTGGCCCAAAAAGAAAAACGAAAGTTTTTCTTTTTAAATTTAGTAATTTATACTGGAGAAGGGGTTACTAGCCCCTTGCTCCTGGCATTTAAGTCGCCTCTTACAACACGCATGGCTTACAGAGGAAGAATTCTGTTCCACTTCCCCATGGAGATAAGAGGAAATAAACAAGAACAAGAACTAGAAAGAAAATAGAAGAAAACCCAGAGGGGTGTGTATATATATGCTTGTACATGTATGTGTAGTGTGACCTAAGTGTAAATAGAAGTAGCAAGACGTACCTGAAATCTTGCATGTTTATGAGACAGACGAAAGACACCAGCAGTCCTATCATCATGTAAAATAATTACAGGCTTTCATTTTACACTCACTTGGCAGGACGGTAGTACCTCCCTGGGCAGTTACTGTTTACCAATCTACTACCTAGGAAATAATATACAGGTCTCCCTCAACATTCGCGAGGGTTAGGGGATCAAGAGCCTCGCGAATGTTGAAAAGCCATGAATGTTTGGTGCCCCAATATATTGTAGGGAAATATATTACAATACTGCTTCCTTAACTTGTTGAACCATGAATAATCATAAAATACATGAAAATGTCGTAAATTGTACTAAATATATACATGTTATGCTTTAATAACGTATGTTATTTAATAACATGTATGTTAATAACATGTATGTTATTAAATACCACAGACTCCACCACTGCCTCCCAATGCCTCCACCAATGCCTCCACCACTGTGAGTCCCTACTACCCTCCCACCGACCCCCGCAACTGGCAGCCAGCCCTCCCACCACTTAGTGTGGTGAGTGTTTTGTTTGTCCATTATTTGCTATTAAACTACAGAATAAATGATGTAAACCCATTCATGACTGCATATTGGAATGGCTATTAGGAAAGGTATTAGACGGTGACATCATGTGTATACTCTTGAACACAGCAAAGAATCGAACATTTCTGCTATTGCTAATAATAACAATAGTAATAATAATAATAATAATAATAATAATAAATACGATATAATTGAAGAAGGAAATTGTACAAAAATACAAGGGAGTGGTTGACACATCGTCAGTGTGACTTTGTTTATGCTGGAGTGAACATTAGTCTCCCTGCTCTTCCAAACATTTCACAATAATTCAGCGGTTGAGGCAGTGGTATTTAATAACATATATGTTATAAATAATAATAGTACATGTTATTATTAATAACATGTATTATTATTAACATGTATGTATTTAATAACATATATGTTATAAATAATAATAGTACATATTATTAATAACATGTATTATTATTAACATGTATGTTATTAAATACCATTGCCTCAATCACTGCCTCTACCACTCCAGTCACACTCAATCTACAAGCACCAAACACAATGAATTATTGTGAAATGTTTGGAAGAGCAGGGAGACTAATGTTCACTCCAGCATAAACAAAGTCACACTGACGATGTGTCAACCACTCCCTCGTATTTTTGTACAATCTCCTTCTTCAATTATATCATATTTATTATTATTATTATTATTTTTTTTTTTTTTCAACAAGTTGGTCGTCTCCCACCGAGGCAGGGTGACCCAAAAAAGAAAGAAAATCCCCAAAAAGAAAATACTTTCATCATCATTCAACACTTTCACCACACTCACACATTATCACTGCTTTTGCAGAGGTGCTCAGAATACAACAGTTTAGAAGCATATACGTATAAAGATACACAACATAACCCTCCAAACTGCCAATATCCCAAACCCCTCCTTTAAAGTGCAGGCATTGTACTTCCCATTTCCAGGACTCAAGTCCAACTATAAGAAAATAACTGGTTTCCCTGAATCCCTTCACTAAATATTACCCTGCTCACACTCCAACAGATCGTCAGGTCCCAAGTATCATTCGTCTCCATTCACTCCTATCTAACACGCTCATGCACGCTTGCTGGAAGTCCAAGCCCCTCTCCCACAAAACCTCCTTTACTCCCTCTTTCCAACCCTTTCGAGGACGACCCCTACCCCTCTTTCCTTCCCCTATAGATTTATATGCTTTCCATGTCATTCTACTTTGATCCATTCTCTCTAAATGACCAAACTATTATTATTATTATTATTATTATTATTATTATTATTATTATTATTATTATTATTATTATTATTATTATTATTATTATTATTATTATTATTACTATTATTACTATTGTTATTATTAGCTGTAGCAGAAATGTTTAATTCTTTGCAGTGTTCAAGATTAAACACATGATGTCACCATCTAATACCTGTCCGAATAGCCATTCCAATATGCAGTCATGAATGGGTTTACATTATTTATACTGTAGTTTAATAGCAAATAATGAACAAACAAAACACTCACCACACTGAGTGGTGGGAGGGCTGGCTGCCAGTTGCGGGGGCCGGAGGGAGGGTAGTAGGGACTCGCAGGTGGCGGGAAACTTAAATATGATTTGGCGGCTGGGAATTTGGTGGCTGGGAATTTGGCGGTTGGGAATTCGCGAATGTGTGAAGTCCGTGAAAGTTGAAAACGTGAATGTTGAGGGAGACCTGTATATTATACTTTAATATTGTAACCTGTATTACCCTTACCCATTATTAATCTGGTATTTTGTTTTACATATTATATCAAAGTGAAACATGTCTTATCCTTGATATTCTGTATATGTTTTTTGTTTAGTTTGCTGGACCAGAAGTACGTTGGGTGGATAACCAGAAAAACGTCTTTCGTGTGTCTATGCGCTTAGTCTCTACCGTTTTAAGTGCAGATCAACATCTGCACAACTTCTTTCACTCCAGTGCCTCTCTTCTTCCCCTGGTCAGCTCTTCTGGTGGAGCCTGTGTTGCTTCTAGTCCAAGATCTTCTCAGCCCATGGATGTTGAAACACTTAAGAATCTAAAAGTAGGTATTGTTTATTGTTTCTTTATCAATCCAGGTATATTTCCAGCTACTCTTGTCACCAAGTAAAGGCAGTGAAATCTTCATTTGTTCTTAATGTACTAAAGTGTGAATTTTACTTGTGGAGTAAGTGGCAGTAATTCTCTGAATACAACAATCATTTTGAATATTTGTATTTAGTAATGCTTTAATCACCGAGGATTATATCCAAAGAGAATGAAAATCACAGTACCATAGCTGGAACAATTCACAACTTGCATACAAATTGCAGATGTAACCAGACAATATTTCATTCTGTCCTTTACTTTTATCGCGTCTCTTTTGGACTTTATAAGGATCCAACCAAAGAATCATCTGGTTTCATCTCCAACTAATTGGTTAATTGGTAATTGTGGAATATATCTACAATTACCATTTAAGACACAGTAAGACAGTGTCTGTAGAAAAAATAGAGCCATTAAAAAGATACTGTAATCCTGTGTTTATTATTAATTTATACTGGAAACTACTCAAGGGCCTGGTCCCAAATCTGCACACTGCCATAACAACATACTGGAGTAAGAGATATGGAGGAAGTGCAAAATAAACCAAGTGAGGAGTAGGGGTGCAATGGGGACAATAAAGGAGCACCCCAGACTATTCAACATCTTACCAGAGAATATCAGAAACACGGCTGGAACAAGTGTAGAAGCCTTCAAGAGGAAACCAGACAAGTATCTTCACCAGGTGCCAGATCAACCAGGCTGTGACAGATATGTGGGGCAGCAGGCCTCCAGCAGCAACAGCCTGGTTGACCAGGCAAGCATCAGACAAGCCTGGCCCATGGTCGGGCTCCGAGAGTAGCAAGGCTCTCAAAATATCAAAGGTATATCAGTGGTAAAGGTACTGTATAAATCATAATATCTACATTTATCAATATTTTTCTTTTAAATATATTTTGTTCATACAGGCCCTGCATGCTTTGGAAGTTGGAACCATTATTGCCTTCCTTCCTACACTGCTTAACCAGCTTTTAGGCGTCCTTCTCAATGGTGGCCCAGAGGTTGCTACAAATGTGACGAGGGTAATGGTTCATGTTATTGATCAAGTGTATGAGGTGGGCCGGGATGACATCCTGCACTCATACATTAAGGTTAGTAAGCATTAGGGAATTGTGTTGCATATTTTGGGGATACCTTATGACTTTATTTCTTCCATATTTGCTACTTTTGTGGATCTATCTGTTGACAGTAAGGAAAAGACACACTTCAGAACAAGCTTTTGTTGGGTTTATTTTTCACTCTTTGTTGAGCTTTATCGTGACTTGATAAAGCTTTACATTGAGCAAAACATCTCTAGGAATGATTTTTTTCATCATTGTCATTTTTCACTGCTGCTTACATCTTAGGTTATAGCATTAAGAACACCTGACCACTTAGTTTATCTTTCTTCTTCTTTCAACAAACCAGCCATATCCCACCGAGGTAGGGTGACCTAAAAAGAAAAACGAATGTTTCTCCTTTTAACTTTAGTAATGTATACAGGAGAAGAGGTTACTAGCCCCTTTCTCCCGGCATTTTAGTCTCCTCTTACAATTCATGGCTTACGAAGGAAGAATTCTTCTTCACTTCCTCACTGAGAAAAGAGGAAATAAAGAGCAAGAACCATTAAGAAAATAGAAGAAAACCCAATTGGGTGTGTGTGTATATGTATATATATATTTTTTTTTTTCAACAAACCGGCCGTATCCCACCGAGGCAGGGTGGCCCAAAAAGAAAAACAAAAGTTTTTCTTTTCAAATTTAGTAATTTATACAGGAGAAGGGGTTCTAGCCCCTTGCTCCCGGCATTTTAGTTGCCTCTTACAACACACATGGCTTACGGAGGAAGAATTCTGTTCCACTTCCCCATGGAGATAAGAGGAAATAAACAAGAACAAGAACTAGAAAGAAAATAGAAGAAAACCCAGAGGGGTGTGTATATATATGCTTGTAAATGTATGTGTAGTGTGACCTAAGCGTAAGTAGAAGTAGCAAGATATATCCGTTATCCTGCGTGTTTATGAGACAGGAAAAAAAAAGACACCAGCAATCCTTCCATCACATAAAACAATTACAGGTTTCCATTTCACACTCACTTGGCAGGACGGTAGTACCTCCCTGGGTAGTTGCTGTCTATCTATGGCCGGTTTGTTGAAAAAAAAAATGATTAAATCTATCCTAGTTAGGCATATAGAAATCCATCCCTGTTAGAACTTGGGACTCTCAGTGTGTCTATGTAGTTAGAATCAGACCTACTCACACTACTCACATTAGAATTAAATCTGTCAAAGCACTTGGTAATCTAACCTGGTTAGGTAGTTATATATATCACCCTTTTAGATAGTTCATATATTTTACCTGGTAAGGTTTTTGCCTTCAGATAATATTTTGAATGGAAGAAATGGCCAACTTGCAGTCTTATCATAGTAAGACTTTAGGTATGGTCCCATCAACATCACTATTCCTCATTCTCATACCAGACATAGACAAGAACACTAACCACCACAGCTTCATATAGTCTTTTGGAGACTATACAAAAGCAAGTATGACAGTCACCTCACTAGAAAATAGAAAAACTACAACAGATATTAACTAGTCTTCCAGTGGGTAAATGACAATAACAAAATGTTCAGTGGTGACAAATTTCAATTGCTTATATATAGGAGGAATGAAGACCTCAAAACAAATACAGTATGCAGGATACAGGCAGATTATGTAAAAGACTTATGAATAATTATGTCAGAGATTCTGTCATTATGAAAAAAACATGAGGCAAATGCAGCAGATGCCAGGAGAATGACAGAGTGGATTACAAAAAATTTTAAAACAAGAGAAGCAATACCACTGATGGTGCTTTTCAGATCATTTGTGCTTTCATGACCTAATAATGTTCTGTACTCCCTGTGCCTTTCAAAGCAGAAGGGATAGCTGAGCTGGAACATTGAGGTTATATACTTCCTGCATAGAATCAACAAAATATATAAATTATTGGGAATGCCTCAGAGCACTCATAATATTCTCCGTGGAATGGAGGAGAGAGAGTTACCTGATATTATATTCATGGAAGTTACTGGGGGTTGGTCCCTAATCTACATACTGCTATGAAAACTTAATAGAATGAAAGACATGGGAGAATGAGTGGAATAAACCCAGTGCAGAGCAGGGAACCATATATGCAATTAGGAAACACTGCATCAACACCCATGGATCAAGACTATTCAACATTTTACCAGTAGATATCAGAAAGGAAGGGTTTGGGATATTTGCTGTTTGGGTGGACATCTGAACTGTCGTATCTGTGCACCTCTGGCAAGACAGTGCTAGTGTGAATGATGGTGAAAGTGTTTCTTTTTTGGGTCACCCTGCCTCAGTGGGAGACAGCCAGCATGTTAAAAAGAATCAGAAATGTTGCTGGAATGACGATAGTGCTGGATCATTTGGGTTATGATTGCAATGTGAGTCCATGAAGTGTTAACACAAACAGAAAGTTGACCAGGTGATTAACAGGGAAGTCTGATCTCAGGTTGGGCTTTGGCAGTAGAAGACCCCTCAAAACCAGTCACAGGTAAAAACAAAAGGCATAAAGCTATATGAATGTGTTGTGCACCTTTTGGTGTATATACACTGAGATACACACCTTTCAGTGTTTATTTTCTCCTGATTGTACAGATGTATAATTTATAGTGAGAAGGGATTGTTACAAGCTTATCCCATGTTTTTTTTTTTTTTTTATGCAATATTTAAAATTTGTTGTACAGTATGTTAAAAAATGTTTGAATAAACTAAGTTATTTTATTTGTTTTTTTAACTTGTTTTCTTTTTATCATTAAACAGTATGTCATGAGTATCTCGTGCCATGGTCGCAAGACAATCCATGAAGAACTGTGCCACTCTCTCACAGAGCTCCTCCAGCCATCCAGTATGGATCAATTGATCACTAATAAGGTTCTCAGACATAGCCAATATTTCTTTGCCTTTATTGCCCGCTCCATGGCTTTACATTTGCTGACTACAGCAAGAATCAAGGTTGGTATATTGCAAGTAGTAATTACTAGCTTAGTAATGTTTAATTATCATAAGCCTTCAATATCCCTTAATACTATTTTGGCAAACTTTTAGCTAAAACATATAACTTAATGTTCAAATAATTTTTCTCCATATTTCTAGATGGTACGAAATGAAAGATTTAGTGAAGAGTATCAGACAGAAGTGCGGTCAGTGGTTGAGCTTGTCTCCACTCACATTATTCAGAGTTACAAAGAAAGTCCTGTTGAAGCAAGAGCTGCTAACATTGCCTTGGCCCACTTTCTCAAGGTGAGTTGTAAAGATATTGTTTCTTTGAAGAATAAAAGTCTCAATACTGTGTCTGGAACAATTTATACATAACGGGCTCTGGTGGCCTGGTGGTTAACGCTCTCGCTTCACACGGTGAGGGCCTGGGTTCGATTCCCAGCCAGAGTAGAAACATTGGACGTGTTTCTTTCCACCTGCTGTCTATGTTCCTCATCAGTAAAATGGGTACCTGGGTGTTAGTCGACTGGTGTGGGTCGCATCCTGGGACACTGACCTAAGGAGGCCTGGTCACAGACCGGGCCGCGGGGGCGTTGACCCCCGAAACTCTCTCCAGGTAAACTCCAGGTAAACCTACTCTTTTGAGAGGAAACTTTTTTTTTTTTTTTTAACAAGTCGGCCATCTCCCACTGAGGCAGGGTGACCCAAAAAGAAAGAAAATCCCCAAAAAGAAAATACTTTCATCATCATTCAACACTTTCACCTCACTCACACACAATCACTGTTTTTGCAGAGGTGCCCAGAACACAGCAGTTTAGAAGCATATACGTATAAAGATATACAGGTCTCCCTCAACATTCACGTTTTCAACTTTCACGGGCTTACACAATTCGTGAATTCCCAACCGCCAAATTCCCAGCCACCAAATTCCCAGCCGCCAAATCATATTTAAGTTTCCCGCCACCTGCGAGTCCCTACTACCCTCCCTCCGGCCCCCGCAACTGGCAGCCAGCCCTCCCACCACTCAGTGTGGTGAATGTTTTGTTTGTTCATTATTTGCTATTAAACTACAGTATAAATAATGTAAACCCATTCATGACTGCATATTGGAATGGCTATTAGGAAAGGTATTAGACGGTGACATCATGTGTTTACTCTTGAACACAGCAAAGAATTAAACATTTCTGCTACAGCTAATAATAACAGTAATAATAATAATTTAAAAATAATAATAATAAAAAATAATAATAATAATAATAATAATAAATATGATATAATTGAAGAAGGAAATTGTACAAAAATACAAGGGAGTGGTTGACACATCGTCAGTGTGACTTTGTTTATGCTGGAGTGAACATTAGTCTCCCTGCTCTTCCAAACATTTCACAATAATTCATTGTGTTTGGTGCTTGTAGATTGAGCGTGACTGGAGTGGTAGAGGCAGTGATTGAGGCAATGGTATTTAATAACATCTTTCTTTCTTTCAACACACCGGCCGTATCCCACCGAGGTGGGGTGGCCCAAAAGGAAAAACAAAAGTTTCTCCTTTTACAATTAGTAATATATACAGGAGAAGAGGTTACTAGCCCCTTGCTCCCGGCATTTTAGTCGCCTCTTACAACACGCATGGCTTACGGAGGAAGAATTCTGTTCCACTTCCCCATGGAGGTAAGAGGAAATAAACAAGAACAAGAACTAGAAAGAAAATAGAAGAAAACCCAAAGGGGTGTGTATATATATGCTTGTACATGTATGTGTAGTGTGACTTAAGTGTAAGTAGAAGTAGCAAGACATACCTGAAATCTTGCATGTGTATGAGACAGATAAAAAAAAGACACCAGCAATCTTACAATCGTGTAAAACAATTACAGGCTTCAGTTTTACACTCACTTGGCAGGACGGTAGTACCTCCCTGGGCGGTTGCTGTCTACCAACCTACTACCTAGAACATGTTAATAATAATACATGTTATTTAATTTTTTTTTTTTTTTTTTTTTTTTTCAACAAGTCGGCTGTCTCCCACCGAGGCAGGGTGACCCAAAAAAGAAAGAAAATCCTCAAAAAGAAAATACTTTCATCATCATTCAACACTTTCACCACACTCGCACATTATCACTGTTTTTGCAGAGGTGCTCAGAATACACAGTCTAGAAGCATACACATTAAAGATACACAACATATTCCCTCCAAACTGCCAATATCCCAAACCCCTCCTTAAAGTGCAGGCATTGTACTTCCCATTTCCAGGACTCAAGTCCGACTATATGAAAATAACCGGTTTCCCTGAATCCCTTCACTAAATTTACCCTGCTCACACTCCAACAGATCGTCAGTCCCAAGTACCATTCGTCTCCATTCACTCCTATCTAACACGCTCACGCATGCTTGCTGGAAGTCCAAGCCCTCGCCCACAAAACCTCCTTTACCCCCTCTCTCCAACCCTTTCGAGGACGACCCCTACCCCGCCTTCCTTCCCCTATAGATTTATATGCTTCCATGTCATTTCTACTTTGATCCATTCTCTCTAAATGACCAAACCACCTCAACAACCCCTCTTCTGCCCTCTGACTAATACTTTTTATTAACTCCACACCTTCTCCTAATTTCTAAACTCCGAATTTTCTGCATAATATTTACACCACACATGCCCTTAAACAGACATCTCCACTGCCTCCAAAACGTCTCCTCGCTGCTGCATTTACCACCCAAGCTTCACACCCATATAAAAGTGTTGGCACTACTATACTTTCATACATTCCCTTCTTTGCCTCCATAGATAACGTTTTTTGACTCCACATATACCTCAACGCACCACTCACCTTTTTTCCCTCATCAATTCTATGATTAACCTCATCCTTCATAAATCCATCCGCCGACATGTCAACTCCCAAGTATCTGAAAACATTCATCTTCCATACTCCTCCTCTCCAATTTGATATCCAATTTTTCTTTATCTAAATCATTTGACACCCTCATCACCTTACTCTTTTCTATGTTCACTTTCAGCTCTCTACCTTTACACACATTCCCAAACTCATCCACTAACCTTTGCAATTTTTCTTTAGAATCTCCCATAAGCACAGTATCATCAGCAAAAAGTAACTGTGTCAATTCCCATTTTGAATTTAATATATACTATTATTATTTATAACATATATGTTATTAAATATATACATGTTAATAATAATACATGTTATTAATAATAACATGTACTATTATTATTTATAACATATTTTATTATTATTATTATCACACTGGCCGATTCCCACCAAGGCAGGGTGGCCCGAAAAAGAAAAACTTTCACCATCATTCACTCCATCACTGTCTTGCCAGAAGGGTGCTTTACACTACAGTTTTTAAACTGCAACATTTACACCCCTCCTTCAGAGTGCAGGCACTGTACTTCCCATCTCCAGGACTCAAGTCCAGCCTGCCGGTTTCCCTGAACCCCTTCATAAATGTTACTTTGCTCACACTCCAACAGCACGTCAAGTATTAAAAACCATATGTCTCCATTCACTCCTATCAAACACGCTCACGCATGCCTGCTGGAAGTCCAAGCCCCTCGCACACAAAACCTCCTTTACAACATATATGTTATTAAATACCACTGCCTCAACCGCTGAATTATTGTGAAATGTTTGGAAGAGCAGGGAGACTAATGTTCACTCCAGCATAAACAAAGTCACACTGAGGATGTGTCAACCACTCCCTCGTATTTTTGTACAATTTCCTTCTTCAATTATATCGTATTTATTATTATATTATTATTATTATTATTATTATTATTATTATTATTATTATTACTATTGTTATTATTAGCAATAGCAGAAATGTTCGATTCTTTGCTGTGTTCAAGAGTAAACACATGATGTCACCGTCTAATACCTTTCCTAATAGCCATTCCAATATGCAGTCATGAATGGGTTTACATTATTTATTCTGTAGTTTAATAGCAAATAATGAACAAACAAAACACTCACCACACTGAGTGGTGGGAGGGCTGGCTGCCAGTTCCGGGGGTCGGTGGGAGGGTAGTAGGGACTCGCAGTGGTGGAGGCATTGGTGGAGGCAGTGGTGGAGTCCGTGGTATTTAATAACATACATGTTATTAACATACATGTTATTAAATAACATACATTATTAAAGCATGACATGTATATATTTAGTACAGTTTACGACGTTTTCATGTATTTTATGATTATTCATGGTTCAACAAGTTAAGGAAGCAGTATGTAATATATTTCCCTACAATGTATTGGGGCACCAAACATTCACGGTTTTTCAACATTCGCGAGGCTCTTGATCCCCTAACCCTCGCGAATGTTGAGGGAGACCTGTACAACATATCCTTCCAAACTGCCAATATCCCAAACCCCTCCTTTAAAGTGCAGGCATTGTACTTCCCATTTCCAGTACTCAAGTCCGGCTATGTAAAAATAACTGGTTTCCCTGAATCCCTTCACTAAATATTACCCTGCTCACACTCCAACAGCTTGTCAGGTCCCAAATACCATTCGTCTCCATTCACTCCTATCTAACACGCTCACTCATGCTTGCTGGAAGTTCAAGCCTCTCACCCACAAAACCTCCTTTATCCCGTCCCTCCAACCTTTTTGAGGACGACCCCTACCCCGCCTTCCTTCCCCTACAGATTTATACGTTTTCCATGTCATTCTACTTTGATCCATTTGATGTCATTCTACTTTGATAAAATTACAGTCCTTCCGGGATCATTGGCAAGATGAAACTCGATAATAATCCAGGTTGGACTAAGATGTTGTCTGAGGTTGCCTCTCCAAAGCATGAGTTGTTTGTAAATTATTATTCCATAACTTTCAAAATGATCTTATTTGTTATATTTTGTTGCCAGCAGAGTATCTAATACTGATAAATGTTAAAAGTGACACATATGGAATGTTAGGTAACTATTGTGGAAACTTTTCATGTACTAGGATTGATATAGCCTCTGATGGGCAAAGCATTTCCATATTAAAGTTAGCTAATGTTGCACATATGTCTTTAATACATTAGTTACTGTGTGTTTATTTGTCTTCCTTTGTTTCTTTCCTGGCAGTGTTAAAAAAATATTTATTATATCAAAATAGATGAAAAAATGTGGTTTGGAGAGCCAACCGAACTGTGATATCTGCACACTTCAGGTAACACACCAGTTGAATGAATGATAGTGAATGTGTTCCCCCTTTTTTTGGGGGGAGGGGGGTGTTAAAAAAAATTGATAAGGACGATTTAGTAGCATTCTTAATAGAAAGAATGTTAGAAGATAATTATGTACTAAGAAACAGAGGTGGTGCCAAAAACGATATCGGAAAGCTTTCTACTCGTAGAGATGAATAGAAGAGCAGGATAGGTTGCAAGAGGAAGTAATAAGTGCTACAACTACAAACATAGCTCCTCTTGCAAAAAATGGGCACTGTAATTACACATTTACACACCCTTAGACACACAAATCATTTCTAGTTAGTCTGTAAATAAAGAAAACTTAAATAAATTAATTTTTTCGACAGCGTTGTCTGAGCATGATGGACCGAGGGTATGTGTTTGGGCTGATAAAGTTGTACCTGGAACACTTTAGTCCTGGTGATCCTATTGTCCTCCATGTCTACAAGTTTACTCTTCTTCGTGTAGTGTGCTCGCATGAGCACTTTATACCTTTAAACCTTCCTGTCTTCAATACTCCTCTCAGCATAGATGCCAAAAAAGCCAAGTTACGTCATGGTAAGTTATAATTGTTTTGCAATTTTTTCCAAGTGTAAATTTTTTCTCTAAAATGTTTAAAATTTTAAGTCATATGTCTTTATTGATGAGGCATCCTCAATAAATGAACCACAAAATTACAGTATTTCTAAACACTAAGTTTTTCTTAAATTTAAAATCATAACTGCAATGATGAGGCAAAAATGTTTCAGTTTTCCTGGTGATGAGGGTAAAGAGCTGAAGATGTTTAAGAAATTAATGAGAGTAAGTCAGTGAGGGAAAACACAGGTTAGGAAAACTCTGCATTTATCAGCATCCTATTCTAGGAAGGTGCTGCTTTATGGTCTCCTGTGTATAAATAAAATATAAAAGCAGTATAGGCAGTGCAAATACAATGGAACCCCGAGTTTCGGCCGCCCTGAGTATCGGCTGCTTTGAGTTTCGACCACTTTTTTCAGTTAAATTTTGTCTCTAGTTTTGGCCTGTGCCCTGTGTTTCAGCTGGGGTACCAGACCTCTCTGCCTGCCCACGCCTGCGTGCCTGCCCGCGCAGGTGTCATGAGCCAGTCTAGTTTTGTTTATTCTTGAGTGAACATTACCCTGCGTGCCCATCCAAACATTTCACAATAAATTCATTGTGTTTAGTGCTTGTTTATTGATTGTGACTCTGAAATCAGCCACCATGGGGCCCAAAGAAACTTCATAGTGGCAGCCCTTTGGTAAAGAAAGTGAGAAACGTGATAGAATTGAAGGAAGAAATTGTAGCAAAGTATCAAAGTGAAGGAGGAAGAGCAAGGGGAGAATGTGCTTTCTTCAGTGATTCTGCAATATGATACTAGAGCAGCACAAGTTGATAAAGGCTATAGTGCCAGCCAGCGATAAAGTGTAGCATTAACCCCTTGACTGTCGCAACCCCAAATCCTGAAGTGTCTTCTGGTGTCGCAAAATTTCCCCCCCCCCAAAAATTAATTTTTCTTATGAAATGATAGAGAATCTTTTCCCAATTGTTATGACACCAGAAGAATGAAATTTTGATGGAAAACTGACTGAATTACGCTCTCAAGTTAGCGACCTCGGCGATATTTACGAATTGGCGATTTCGCCCACTTTGAGCCCTATTTTCGGCTAATTCCATTGTTCCAGTCGACAAAACTCATAGCTATTTCTTTAGAACTCCATTTTTTATATTAATTGAGTACAAGAAACTGCCCATTTACTGATTTGAACTACCCAATAACGTGGTCAGAAATTTGCAATTTGGCCAATTTCACAAAAATTAAAAAAATATGACAATTTCAAAATAGGGTCAGAATTAACAAGGCAGACATTCCTGGTGCTAAAATAACATTTTCTATGTTAATCAGTCACGTCTCCAGGCCCCTCTGATATTACTCTTGCTTTCTATTCTGAATTTTTATTCAAACAAAAAATAAAAGATTTACTGTTATGCAGACTACTGCAATATTGTAATAATTGTATAAATAATGTCAACCCATTCATGACTGCATATTAGAATGGCTACTTGGACATTTATTGGAAAATGACATCATTTGCTTACTTTTGAACATCGACAAAAATCAAACATTTCCCCTACTTTGAGCTCCATTTCAAGGTTCTTTTCATAGTAAAACCAATCAAACTCACCTCTATTTCTATAATATGTTTTCCATTCTATCAAATGAGACCAAGAAAACAAGAATACATCAATAAATACTATACGAAAATAGACCTCAAAGTCAGCATTTTAATTAAAAAAACTGTTGGAGTTTTTTTTTCTCATTATGCACTGTGTGCTGCAGGATTTTTTTATATGGTGCACACTGACCACACAGACCCATTCTCTCACATGTGGGCCTACCAGCTTTCTCCTGCTTGATTTGAAGCCGCTAGAATTTATGAGTATACATACGTCAAAAATGGTGGCTCGTAAGACGTATATATACGACCGAAACAGTCAAAGGGTTAATAGTGTAGCGAGTAAGTTAAGCGATTAATGAATTGAAAAAGTACAGCACGAGACTGACTCCTCCAATGTTGTTGGAGTTATATAGGGCGACTGACAACACCGCCTTCTCTGCTGCTGCCATCACCACCACTCATCGGTTAGGGAGAGAGACTTATGACATATTTTATATCATTCTAGAGTATATATCATGTTTCTTTGTTATTAATATTGTTTATTATGTCATATTAGATGAATTGTGCTAGATAAATAAGCCATAGAGTTGATATTAGTGTCATATTGAAGGGCGATCTTGTCCTGCCTCCAAACAAACTCCCCTGCCTCTCTCATACACCAGCAAGAGTCCTCAATAAAGGTGAAACTGATTTAAATGTTCATTTATCCATTAAAATTAGTGCTTTATACAGTGGTCCCTCGTTTTTCGTAATTAATCTGTTCCTGGAAGTGTGACTATTATCGAAATTTACGATTTTCGAATCAATTTTTCCCCATAAGAAATAATGTAAATACAATTAATCCGTTCCTGACACCCAGACGTATTAAAACAAAAAATTTTTACATGAAATATAGATGTAGTACATAAACAATACAATGGGACATGATGAATGAAACATTAACAGCATAACACTTACCTTTATTGGTGATTCTTCTTAGTGTATGGAAGACTGGAGGAGGAGAGAGATTGCATTAGTTACTCTTTGGAAGGGGAATCCCCTTCTGTCAACACGTCAGGTACCAAGTGCTTTTCTGGGGTTACTTCTCTGTTTCTTAATGCCACTAGGACCAGCTTGAGAGTCACTGGAGTCCTGTCTCGCAAAAAAACTGTCCAGAGAGCTCTGTTTCTGGCGTCTCTTTAACACTTCCCTAAAATGGGCCAAGACTTTGTCACTGTACATGTTGCCAACTTGGCTTGCAACAGCCTTGTCAGGGTGATGTTTCTCCATAAATCTTTTCATCTTACCCCACATTTCAAAAATCTCCTTAATTTTTGAAGAAGGCAACTTCTTCCATCTCTCTTCCTCCTCCTCTGCAGCAAGATTCTGAGCTGCGATCTTTTCCTGTTCCTGCTGAAGCTCTTGCAGCTCCTCAGTGGTGAGCTCTTCGTTGAGGTCTTCCACCAACTCTTCCATATCCTCCAAACTCACATCCAACCCCATGGAACTCCCCAGTGCCACAATATACAGTGGACCCCCGCATAACGATGGCATCACATAGCGATTATTCCGCATACCGCTTACTTTAATCGCAAAATTTTTGCCGCGCATACCGATTAAAAACCCGCTCACCGATTTTCGGCCGAGACGCGTCCAATGTGCGCCTTCAGCCAGCCTCACATGTGCCGCCCGTGCCATTGTTTACCAGCCAGCCTCCGCGGTAACATCCAAGCATACACTCGGAATATTTCGTATTATTACAGTGTTTTCGGTGCTGTTTCTGGAAAATAAGTGACCATGGGCCCCAAGAAAGCTTCTAGTGCCAACCCTACACCAATAAGGGTGAGAATTCCAATAGAGATGAAGAAAGAGATCATTGATAAGTATGAAAGTGGAGTGTGTATCGCCGACCTGGTCAGGTTGTACAAGAAACCCCAATCAACCATCGCTACTATTGGTGGTACAGCTGCTGCTGCTGCTGCACTGTCAGCTGCTGCTGCTGCTGCACTGTCAGCTGCTGCTGCTGCTGTAGCATCGTCTGCTGCTGCTGCTGCTGTAGCATCGTCTGCTGCTGCTGTAACATCGTCTGTTGCTGCTGTAGCATCGTCTGTTGCTGCTGTAGCATCGTCTGCTGCTGCTGTAGCATCATCTGTTGGTGCTGTAGCATCGTCTGCTGCTGCTGCTGCTGTAACATCGTCTGCTGCTGCTGTAACATCGTCTGTTGCTGCTGTAGCATCGTCTGCTGCTGCTGTAGCATCGTCTGTTGCTGCTGTAGCATCGTCTGTTGCTGCTGTACCACCGTCAGCTGCTGCTGCTGCTGTAGCATCGTCTGTTGCTGCTGTAGCATCGTCTGCTGCTGCTGTAGCATCGTCTGTTGCTGCTGTAGCATCGTCTGTTGCTGCTGTACCACCGTCAGCTGCTTCTGCTGCTGTAGCATCGTCTGTTGCTGCTGTAGCATCGTCTGCTGCTGCTGTAGCATCGTCTGTTGCTGCTGTAGCATCGTCTGTTGCTGCTGTACCACCGTCAGCTGCTGCTGCTGCTGTAGCACCGTTGTTGGTGTGGCTTATTGAGAATACCAAGAAACAATTAACCCCAGAGGATTTGCCACCCAGGATAACCCAAAAAAGTCAGTGTCATCGAAGACTGTCTAACTTATTTCCATTGGGGTCCTTAATCTTGTCTCCCAGGATGCAACCCACACCAGTCGACTAACACCCAGGTGAACAGGGAAAAATGCCTGGAACTAGTGCTCATATTGGTGAATTTAAAGCCAGCAAAGGTTGGTTTGAGAGATTTAAGAATCGTAGTGGCATACACAGTGTGATAAGGCCTGTTCTGGAAGAAAATGCCAAACAGGACCTACAGTATTCAGGAGGAAAAGGCACTCCCAGGACAGTGTCTCATCAGTCATTGCTGCATCTTCAATAAAGGTAAGTGTCATTTATTCTTCATTTAGTAGACTAGTACATGCACAATATATACTGTGCATGTACTACTCTACTATTGTGCATGTATCCTTCTCTTTGTGTGTAGGAAAATGTATATTTCATGTGGTAAAAAATTTTTTTTCATACTTTTGGGTGTCTTGCACGGATTAATTTGATTTCCATTATTTCTTATGGGGAAAATTCATTCACATAACGATTATTTCGCATAACAATTACCCCTCTTGCACGGATTAAAATCGTTAACCGGGGGTCCACTGTATTGATTTAACAACTGATATAGGCTCATCAGGGTCAGCCCCAAACCCTTCAATATCCCTCTTGTGGACACAGTCTGGCCACAATTTTCTCCAAGCAGAGTTCAAAGTCCTGGTAGTCACTCACTCCCAAGTCTTACCTATAAGGCTTATGCAATGGAGGATACTGAAGTGTCCTTTCCAAAAATCTCTTAGGATCAAGTGAGTGTCTGAAGTCACGTTAAAGCATCTTTGAAACATTACTTTGGTGTAGAGTTTTTTAAAGTTTGAAATGACCTGCTGGTCCATAGGCTGGAGTAGAGGAGTGGTATTCGGGGGCAAGAACTTTACTGTGATGAACCCAAACTCCTCCAAAATTAGGTCATCCAAGTTTGGAGGATGAGCAGGTGCATTGTCCATTACTAGGAGGCACTTGAGATCCAATTTCTTTTCCAGGAGGTAATTCTTCATACTAGGGCCGAACACTTCAGTGAACCACTCGACGAAAATTTCCCTCGTGACCCATGCCTTACTATTAGATTTCCAAAACACACAATTTACTCTTCATAACATTGTTTTTCCTGAACACTCTGGGATTTTCAGAATGGTACACTAGTAACGGCTTCACTCTGAAATCCCCATTAGCATTAGCATAGAACATGAGCATCAGCCTGTCTTTGATAGGCTTGTGTCCTGGCAGTGCCTTTTCCTCCTGAGTAATGTAGGTCCTCCTTGGCATTTTCTTCCAAAAGAGGCCTGTTTCGTCACAATTGAACACTTGTTCAGGTTTCAGTCATTCAACCTCTATGTACTCCTTGAATTCACTTACGAATTTTGTAGCTGCAATTTTGTCTGAACTGGCAGCCTCACTATGCCTTACCACACTGTGTATGCCACTATGGTTCTTAAATCTCTCAAACCAACCTTTGCTGGCCTTAAATTCACAAATATCAGTACTCGTTGCAGGCAATTTTTTTACCAGATCGTCGTGCAACTGTCTAGCCTTTTCACAAATAATTGACATCATAAGACTATCTCCTGCTAATTGTTTCTCGTTTATCCACACCAGTAATAACTTCTCAACATCTTCGAGTACTGGTCATCTCATTTTTTGTCAGCATATTTACCCCCTTTGCAACAACAGCTTCCTTGGTTTCCTTTTTCTTGGCCATGATTGAAGCTATGGTCGTATGGGGTTTGTTACACATCCTGGCCAGTTCGGCCACACGTACGCCTCTTTCATATTGTTCAATGTTTTTCTTAAATTCAATTGCATTTCTCACCTTCTTTACCAAAGACTTGGCACTGGGAGCTTTCTTTGGAGGCATGGTAGCTTATTTAGTAGTTGCAAGCACTAAAATGAATGGAATATTATGAAATATTTCATATGAGCAAGTGAGGGGACCGTCGCTCACTGGTTAACAATGGCACACTGGCTGGGAACGGCTCAGAGCTGTGCGTATGCGTCCCAGACGAATGACTATTCGCGAGTCAAACTACGATTAGCAAGCCAATGTTTTGACGAAAATAACGTTATGATTTTGGAAAATTACGACTATCGAGCCTTACGATTATCGAGGGACCACTGTATTTATTTCTCATTGTTTTCTTTATGTAAAACTATAGTATTTATTCTTGAAAAAAATTATTTTTTTGTGAACATTTTTGGGTGGAACGGAATACAGTGGACCCCCGAGTTTCGTGATTAATCCGTTCCAGAGAGCCTGCTGAAAGTCAAAATTGCCGAATGGCGAAACCTTTTTCCCCATAAGAAATAAGTAATGGAAATAAAATTAATCCGTTCCAGACACCCAAAAATATTAAAATAAAATATTTTCAAATTAATTAAAAATTTACATACTGAAAACAATGAGAAATCAAGTACATGCATATAAAAAATAATAACAACATTACACTTACCTTTACTGAAGACTTCTGGGTGGATGGAAGATGGGAGGAGGGATAGGAGGAAGGTGTACACTATTGTTTGGAAGGAGAATCTCCTTCCATTAGGACTTCAGGTATGAAGTCCTTATCTGGGGTTACTTCCCTTCTTTGTTTTGTAAAGACACTGGCACTGGGAACAACTTGAGTCACTGGAACCCTGTCGCACAGAATATCTGCCCAGAGAGCTCTGTTTCTGGCGTTTCTTTAAGATTTGTCTGAAGTGAGACACAACACTGTCATTGTACATGTTGCCAATACGGCCTGCAACAGCTTTGTTAGGGTGAAGTTCATCCATAAATGTTTGCACTTCAGTCCACTTTGCACAAATGTCCTTAATCTGTTTTTCGGTAATCCACACCAACAATAACCTCTCCACTTCTTCGAGGATTTGTGATCTCCTTTTTATCAGCATATCTACCCCTTTTGCAACAACAGCACACTTTATTTCCTTTCCTTTTGCCACGATTGAAGTGATGGTTGAATGGGGTTTGCCATGCATCCTGGCAAGCTCTGTAACACGCACTCCACTCTCATGTTTTTCAATGATTTCCTTCTTGAATTCGATTGTGTTCCTCACTTTCTTTACCAAAGGGCTTGCACTAGCTTTCCTTGGGCCCATGGTGACTTATTTAGCAGTTGCAATCACAAAAAAATGGATTATTACGTATGAACCCGCGGGGTGATGGTCACGTGTTGGTAAACAATGGCACACTGAGCATGAATGGCGTGGGAGACTGGCTTTGTGTGTGCGGTGACGGGTACCGGGCGGTCGCCGAATCACGAGTCTAATCACGAACCGCGAGGCCAAATTTTGCCGAAAAAACTAGCCGAAAGTCGGATTTTACGAAAGTCGAGGCTGCTGAAACTCGAGGGTCCACTGTAATTGGATTTACATTATTTCTTATGGGAAATATTACTTTGACTTTAGGCCGTTTCGACTTTAGGCCTAGCTCCTGGAACGGATTATGGCCGAAACTCGGGGTTTCACTATATGGGAAAACTATGGTTATTACACATTCAAATTTAGAACTAACATTGTTGAATAATATTGAAAGGTTACAGTACAAAGCTTAAGTTAAGCATTTTGGTCGTGTTACTGGCCACTTGCCATCCACACAGATAAGATGATGCCAGGAAACCACTATTTTTTCTTCCATGGATATGCCATGTAGAGGACTCATAGAGTAAGAGTAAGTTAGAAATGGCTGTAACAGAGGGAAGAGCAGGTAAAAAAAAAACCACTTCATTTTGTGCCAGTGCTAGAAGATACTCTGTCATATCTTCATGTATCTATTATCATAGGAAATATTCTATGTCAAAAATCTCTTAACCTGTGATGTAGCTGTTTTTAGAAAACTGATTTGCTAGATAGATACATCAGTGTAGAGGAAAGCAGAAGTTCTCTCTATGGAAACTGGGCAAAGCCCTGCATCCTAAGTTAGGGATTGGCTTATTCTCCTTTCTTTTTTCCCTCAATAGCTAAAAAATTCCTTATTCTTCATACCTAAGCACACATAGGACTCTTCATCTATAAACAAAGCTTTTTTGGCTTAACAGGAAATATTCGAGGGCAGGTTTTGCAGCTATCACAAGTCCATTGATCCAAAAAATTGAATAACTAGTGCTGTTAGGAATCCTGCCTGCCAGGGCAGTGAACAAACTAGATGCTGGTTGAAGAGTTGTATATGGTGTAGAGAGGAGTGGATGTGATGACATGATTAAATCATGTAACTGGCAAGTCAGTAATGGGGCCCTTTGCTAGGGGGCTCTGGATGCATAAGGTGAGCATAGATGAAAGGAACAAGTAGGTTGATTCTGACTTTGAGCAAGACAGTGTGAGATAATCATTTTTAGGACCTTGAGAGGCGAGTCAATACGTGAATATGTGCTGGGTGTTTTCCTCTCATGGTTTATAGCTGCTTTTTTTATTGAAAGTTCAATTTATTTTATTTCACTTTTGTTTTATGCATGGTGCCGTAGAATAAATACTTCTTTTATAGGTGCTCAGTTTGATGAGTTTTTTTTTTTATAGAGTACCACATATTCATGAAAAGCTATTGCTAATTTAATACTAAACAAACTCAGTGAAATATATTTTTTTCGTTAGGTTCAGAATGATTTTGGAGACATTATTGCATACACAATTTTTCTCTTGTCCTATATGGCAAGATAAGCGTTGCTATTTAAGCCAAATCGCACGTTCTGCCTATTCGGCACGATGTGACTAAAACAGAGACTTATCACCCAGAAAAAATAATTTTCTAATACTAATGCAGCCAAGTTTGGCTCGACAGTGTACATATTACCAAAATAATATTTCAGGTACAGATGAATTCTTCCTCAGCACAGACTTCAGTTCTCGGCATTTTCTTGTTGGTGCCTTGTTAAGTGAAGTTCGTGCTGCTCTTGGGGAAGTGGCAGAAGTGCAGCGAGTAGCCATTGGTGTACTCCGTGATTTGCTCGCCAAGCATGCCTTTGATGATCGTTACTTACAGTCTGTATGTTGGTAAAATTGTTTTTAAAAATTTGAATTTAAGCATAATTAATAATCTTAAGGTTAATTAGCTTGGGGAAAGCGATCACAAATCACTTAGTTTCAATATATCATGGAATTACCCAGATAACTGCAATCAAATCTCTGTCCCAGACTTTCGCTTGGCTGATTTCATGAGACTGAGAAATTACCTGGGTGTGCTAAATTGGGATGACCTGACTATGGGTCATGTAGGTGATCTTGGTTGCCAATATGACGTTTTTCAGAGCATAGTTCTAGCTGCCCAGACAACTTTTGTTCCGAGTAGGGAAATTAGATCTAACAAAAATGATCCCAGATGGATGAACAATAGATTAAAACATCCCATTGGTCAAAAGAGAGGCATATATAGGCATATCAAAAGAGGGGATGGGCAGTTAAGAAATCAATATATTCAATTAAATGAGAGAAATAAAAAAAGGAATAAGAAAAGCAAAAAGGGATTGTGAGACTAAGGTCATAAGGGATTTGAAGACTAACCCAAAAGGGTCCTTTCAGGTATAAAGAAGTAAGATTAGGGACAAGATAGGCCCCCTTAAGTGTAACTCAGGTCAGATCGCTGACAGTGATAAGGATATGTGTAAAATTTTCAATACTTGCTTCCTCTCAGTTTTTACCCAGGAAAATACTGGCAAAATTCCTGAAATAATAGATTATGTAGAACAGGACGATAATAAACTATGCATGATTGCGGTAACTAGTGACATGGTCCTCAGAGAAATAGAGAAATTAAAACCTAACAAATCCCCAGGCCCTGATGAACTGTTTGCAAGGGTGTTAAAGGAATGTAAAGAGGAACTTAGCATACCTTTGGGTAATCTTTTCAGCATATCACTACAAACTGGCATAGTGCCTGATAAGTGGAAAATGGCAAATGTTAATACCTATTTACAAGGCCTTATCTTCGAACTATAGACCAATAAGCCTTACCTCATAGTGGGAAAATTTATGGAATCAATAATTGCCGAAGCAATTCATAGCCATCCTGATAGGCATAAATTGGTTAACGAATCTCAGCACGGTTTTACAAAGGGGAGTTCCTGTCTTATGAATTTACTAACTTTTTTCACTAAGGTGTTTGAGGAGGTAGATCATGGTAATGAATATGATATTGTGTATATGGACTTCAGTAAGGCTTTTGATAGAGTTCCACATCGGAGGCTATTGAGGGAACTTAAGGCACACGAAATAGGAGGAGAAATTTTTTCCTGGGTAGAGGCATGGCTGACAAATAGGCAGTTTGCATAAATGGGGAGAAACAGAATGGGGGCATGTCACAAGCGGTGTTCCTCAGGGGTCAGTGTTGGGCCCGTTGTTGTTCACAATTTACATAAACGACATAGATGAGGGAATAAATAGCGACATAAGCAAATTTGCTGATGACACCAAAATAGGCCATCCAATTCATTCTAATGAGAACACTAGAGCACTCCAGGATAATTTGAATAGGCTGATGCAATGGCCAGAGAAGTGGCAGATGCAGTTTAATATAGACAAATGCAAAGCTCTAAATATTGGACAGGAAAGTAACCATGCCACATATAAACTAAATAATGTAGATCTTAATAGTACTGATTGCAAAAAGAATTTAGGAGTTCTGGTTAGCAGTAATCTAAAACCAAAACAACAGTGCATTAGTGTTTGCAATAAAGCTAACAGAATCCTTGGCTTCATATCTAGAAGTATGAATAATAGAAGTCCTCAGGTTGCTCTTCAGCTCTATATAGGTTAGGCCTCATTTAGATTATGCTGCACAGCTCTGGTCACCATATCATAGAATGGATATAAATGCACTGGAAAACATTCAGAGAGGATGATAAAGTTGGTCCCATGTATCAGAAATCTTCCCTATGAGGATAGACTGAGGGCCCTGAATCTGCACTCTCTCGAAAGGTGTAGAATTAGGTGGGATATGATCGAGATGTATAAATGGAAAACAGGAATAAATAAAGGGGATGTAAATAGCGTGCTGAAAATTTCCATCCAAGACAGGACTTGCAGCAATAGTTTCAAGTTGGAAAAATTCAGATACAGGAAGGATATAGGAAAGCACTGGTTTGGTAATAGAGTTGTGGATGAGTGGAACAAACTCCCGAGTACAGTTATAGAGGCTAAAACGTTGTGTAGTTTTAAAAATAGGTTAGATAAATACATGAGTGGGTGTGGGTGGGTGTGAGTTGGACCTGACTAGCTTGTGCTACTAGGTCTGATGCTGTGCTCCTTCCTTAAGTGGAAGTGACCTGACTAAGTGGGTCATTGGGCTCATTGGGGGGGGGGGGCATGGACCTGTTTTGCATGGGTCAGTAAGCCTGCTGCAGTGTTCCTTCTTTCTTATGTTCTTATATAAGATATTCAAATAATATTACTCATTTTAAAGTTTGTCAGGTAAACTATTATTACTGCTTCCTTCAAGAAGGATAATTTACATAATATTGTCAAAGCACAAATATTGCTACATACTGTATTGATGCATGAAGGATTATCCAGCACATAATTGTTCTACTAGTTAACAGTTCAATTAATTATATACTGTATATGCATACTGCATTCTTCATCATTTGCTTGTGTCTATCTGTCATTGTCTGATATGCTCATAACTCATTTCCTATTAATACCTTACATCTTTTAATTAAAAAATTAAACCAAGAATAACAAAAATACTGGGGGATACTTTAATCTTGATTAACAATGCAACCTTTTATTGTTACTTTCTCTGCAGACAAACAATTAGGCTGAGCTTAATTGTGAATTGGGCATGATTTGCACTCTACTTGCCTACTTGTTGGGTATTTATTGATAATTCTGGGAATCAGCACAGCTGATTCCCAAAATTATAGGGAAACTTAGCCTTTTTGCTAAAGCTTTCTACCATTTAATACCAACTGGGCTACCTCTTAGTTTATTTATAACTGATGTGCTTTCTGTTGTCCGTATTTTGTGCTATTCATCATGCCTCCTGCTCTTGTTAGGAGTAATTTCTCTGCACTGACTTAGATCTAGTCCCTCCAGTATTTTCCAGATGTAAATTTCATCTTTTTCATGTGCATTTGAAGAGTACAATTTGAGGGATATTTTGGTGTCTCAAACAGTTTAGGTGTTCAGCTGAACTGCTATGGGCAGCAAGAGCTCTTTGTAAATCCTCCAAATCTGTACTTTTGCTGCCTAATGGGCCTCTTAGAGTGTAGCAATATTCCAGTTTCATTCCTAAGACCTCGTCGGTAAATGAATTTGTCGGTAAGTGAGGAGTATACTATAATGGTAGTGGGTTTGTGTCGACCATCTTTAATATTGTTTTAATGTTACCTTTGCACCATTTATAGCATTTCTGGTGTATTTTTTTAATGTTTATACAGTAGTGTACTGTATATTGTAATAAACAGAATAGAGGAAATCAGCTGTAACATATATTAATTAGGTATGAATACTGGTCAAGAGCCCGTCGTAAGTTCGAGTCGTCGGTAAACGAGTACGTTGCTAAGTGAGGAGAGGCTGTATTATATTTTAAAAGCACTTGTAAACTAATTTATAATTTTCTTCTAGTTTTCTTCATGGTAACAATATTGTGTTACCTTAGCTCAGTATTTAATGAAATGGCTCATCACATTCCTCTTTTTTTGTACCAAGTAGTTTGATTGTGTTTTGTGTTCAGCATGTATTTGAAATGGTGTTACAGGTACAATCTTGTCAATTTTTGCCATGAATTTCCTCGTTTGTTACAAAAAAAGTTTTTGTGTCTGTATGGTTTTTAACTTCAGTGACATGGCTTGACTCGCCTTGTTACTTTCATGTGGAAAGCAGGGCAATTTATGTCTTAGTATTTTGGGTGATTGCATCTGTTATTTCAACTATAAACATATTTGTAATTTACTTTCATAAGCAAATAAAGATGTAAGATAGTTTATGAATTTTTGTTTTGTTTTGTTTCTTCCCTCCTTATTCCCGACTATATAGCCAACGCTTCCCCTTCTGCATGTAGTACCTTCTAAAAAGCTTTATACCCAGCAAATGCTTAGGTGTTAGTGTTAGTCTAAAGACATAAAAGGGAAATTGTTTCATATTTTATTTTTCAGGCTCAGCAAGGAAGAATTGCCTGCTTATATTTTCCAATAGTCTCGGTTCTGTTGGAGAATGTGAAGCGACTCAGCTGGCCTTCAGTTCCATCCAGCTCTACGGGTTCAGCACTGAGGAGAGTTGACCCTCGAGCAAGTGCCAGAGCCCGTATTGCAAGGTTAGAATATTGAAGAGACTTCTGTACACATTGCATGTCATTTTTATCCATTTTTTTTTAACATGTCAGCCATTTCTCACCTAGGCAGGATGACCCAAAAAGAAAGAAAAATCCAAAAAGAAAGAAAAAACTTTCATCATCATTCATCACTTTCACCAGCAAAAAAGAATAAAGTGGGTCTTCCTTGAAGCAAGGTGTTAGTGCAACTGAACTCTCTGTTTGAGGGAAAATGTATACTGATTGATGTATTCCATCAGTTTTTTCAAGTGTTCAATTTTTACTTTTATTTGGTAATTTTTGGTGGACAATTGTAAAAGAATGGTTTTATCCTACATGAATCATTTTATTTTTTGTGATCCAAGTTACTTTAGTATTGAGTGTTTTCCTTTATGAGTTAATTTCACTTGGTAAATATGTTACCCTTTCTTTAAAAGTGTTTATTTGAAAAATATGTTTATAAATTTTATTTTAAAATTAACTACAGTAAACTTCCAGAAATGTATTCCCCTGTATTCATAACACCTGAGTACATAATTGATCATTCTTCAGCAGATCAGGGGGAGGAAGTATTGACATGAGTACCTATAGCACTCCCTCACGTAAAGGTTCCAGCCGTACTGATGCCTCAGGTTTCACAGGCCGAGGGGATTCCTCATACCTGGCACTTATTGCTGGACCAGGAGGAATAATGACTCACCATACTAATCTAGTCAATGGTAGATCTAGTTCAAGCCTAGAATCAGAGGATCAAGTGCCATCTGTTGCAAATTCTGACCTACTAGAGGAAGAATTAGAAGATGACACTGCTGAAGAGGGAAGGTGTCATTCCAGGTAAGTTTTATACAATTCTTGTAGTCTTGACACAATATTTGATATTTTTTCAGGCATCATAACTCTGTTTCAGTTTCCTTGTGTTAATGAAGGAAAACCATCCATTCTTTTCCACTTGAGACTACATCTGATACTTAAATTATGTAGAATACCTGTATCAAAACAGTTGGAAAGAGGATATTGAGTGTACATTAACACCATTATCAAGCATCTACAAAAAGTGTATGGAAACATGTTGCTCTATAATTACACATTCTCATGCCTTCTGTGGTGATTGTTCACTCAGTTTGTAATGCTACAGTGAGTGATAATAAAGAGTGGAAATGAGAAATATTTTATAAATGAAAAAAAAAGTTGTTATCCTGTTATTTACTATATTGGTGCTGAAATTATATAGAACTTCAGTATCAAAACAGATGGAAAAAAAAACTGGAAGATTGTAAGATGGCTTGCTTTCCATTCAGCTTACTGCACCAGTACATCAGAAGCCTATGTTCATTATTATTCAGAGAATCCCCATGCTTTGATAGGTAAGACCAAATACCGTGGAACCTCGAGTTTCGGCCGCCCCCAAGTTTTGGCCATTTTGAGTTTCGGTCACTTTTCGGCTAAATTTTATCTTGAGTTTCAAACAGTAACTTGAGTTTCGGCCGTCGTACCCAGCCTGTCCACCTACGCGCACCCACACAAAGCCTCCCACACATGCGTTGTGAGTCAGTCTGGCTCTGCTTTTGAGTGAACGTTACCCTGTGCGTTCATCCAAACATTTCACAATAGTCCATTTTTTTGTTTGTTGATTGAGTGCGACTGCTACATAATTAACCATGGGCCCCAAGAAACTTTCTATTTCCTACCCTGTGGTAAAGAAAGTGAGAAACACGATAGAATTGAAGAAGGAGATTATCAAAAAATACAAAAGTGGTATGTGCGTGCTGGAGCTTGCCAGGTTGTATGGCAAAAACAAATCAGCCATCAGTTCCATCCTGGTGAAGAAAAAAGAAATCAAGGAAGCTGATGTTGTGAAAGGGGTAGATATGCTAACGAAAAATAGATCACAGACAATCGAAGAGGGTTGAGAAGTTGTTGTTGGTGTGGATCAATGATAAGCAGTTAGCGGGAGATAGTGTTTCAGAGACGATCATTTGTGAAAGACGAGACAGTTGCACTTGGATCTCATAAAGAAAATGCATGGAACAAGTTCTGCTGTTAGTGAATTTAAGGCCAGCAGAGGCTGGTTTGACAACTTCAAGAAGCATAGTGGTATATACAGTGTTGCAAGGCATGGCAAGGCTGGAAGTTCAGACAAACATGCAACCGAAAAATTTGTGCATGAATTCAAGGACTATGTAGAGGCTCAAGGATTTGTCCCCCAACAAGTGTTCAGTTGTAACGAAACAGGCCTCTTTTGGAAGAAAATGCCAAAGAGGACCTACATCACGCAGGAGGAAAAGGCACTGCCAGGACACAAGCCTATGAAAGACAGGCTAACTCTCTTGCTCTGTGGTAATGCTAGTGGGGATTTCAAAGTGAAGCCTTTACTGGTGTGTCACTAAAAATCCCAGTGTGTTCAAGAAAAACAATGTCGTCAAGAGTAGATTGTGTGTGATGTGGAGGGCTAACAATAAGGCATGGGCCACAAGGCAAATTTTCATTGACAGAGTGTATGAAGTGTTTGGCCTGAGTGTGAAAAAAATACCTCCAGGAAAATATATTGCCACTCAAGTGCCTCCTGGTATTGGATAATGTTACTGCTTATCCTCCAAACTTGGTAGACCAATTGTCTATGGATTTCAGTTTTATAACAGTGAAGTTCTTGCCTCCTAACATCACTCCTCTCATCCAGCCCATGGACCAGCAGGTCATTTCAAACTTCAAAAAACTCTACATGAAAGCACTGTTTCAAAGGTGCTTTGAAGTGACCTCGGACACTGAATTGACCCTAAGAAAATTCTGGAGGAATCACTACAGCTGTATAAGCCTTATAGATAAGGCTTGGCAGGGAGTAACTTCCAGGACTTTGAACTCTGCTTGAAGAAAATTGTGGCCAGAATGTGTCCAACAGAAGGATTTTGAAGGGTATGAGGCTGACCCTGTCGACCCCATGCCTGTTGTGGAATGTATTGTGGCACTGGGGAATTCCTTGGGGTTGGATGTGAGTGGCCAGGATGTGGAAGAGTTGGTGGAGGACCACAATGAAGAGCTAACCACTGAAGAGCTGCAAGAGCTTCATCTGGAACAGCAACAGACCACAGCTGAAGAACTTGCTTCATAGGAGGAGGAAGAGGGAGGGAAGGAGGTGCCTTCTTCAGAGATTAAGGAGATTTGTGCAATGTGGAGTAGGGTGCAAGCTTTTGCTGAGAAATATCACCCCGAGCAAGCTGAAACAAGCTACCTTTGCAACATTTTCAGTGACAAAACCATGTCCCATTTCAGACAAATACTAAAGAGATGCCAGAAACAGACCTCTCTGGACAGTTTTTTTTGAGCAACAGAGGTCCAGTGACTCTCAAGCTGGTCCTAGTGGCATTAAAAAACAGAAGGGAAGTAACCCTGGATAAGGACTTATTATCTAAAGTCTTTATGGAAGGGGATTCCCCTTCCAAACAATAATAAAGTCCTCCCTCCCTCCCTCCCTCATGTCTTCCATATGCCAACAAGAGTCTTTGGTAAAGGTATGATTTTAAATGTATATTTAAATGTTTATTTATGTATTTTGTTAGTCATTTAAGTACTATATGTATTTATAATTGCTTTGTGTTTGTAAAACTATAGTTATTCTTTAAAAAATGTATATTTTTTCAATGTTTTTGGGTGTCTGGAACGGACTAATTGGATTTACAATGGGAAATATTGTTTTGACTTTTGAACAATTTGAGTTTCGACCATGTTTACCTATTGAGGGATGGTCTAACAAGGTGATGCAGGTATATGGGCAAGACTTCTTTCATCTGCTGCTCCTTTTCACATAGAAACAATTACTTGTGGGTGGCAGGGTGATACACACCCCTTCACTCCAATATATTTGAATTCAGCTGTCGGCTCTAGCTTCAACACCAGCAAAAATGTGAGATTTCTGATATCTCTCTCTTCATATTTCCTTCACATGTCTGTATTAGGGACTGATGAAGGCATATTTAGTGGATGAGTGAAGAGGGATTGTCAGCCAGATCAGATGCTTTGGTACAGTAGAATTTGGGGTTTGACTGGATCTGGAGTAATCTAGACTCCTAGAAAGATTATTGACTTCATCTCACCAAAAAATGATAAGTGTCTCACACTCCAGTGCATATCTGTAATAGGGACTGATGATGATGCCAGACTTCCAGAATTAGTGGATGTGTGAGAAGGGACTGTTAGCCAGATCACACACTGGTATGGTAGAATTTATGGTGTGACTGGATCTGAAGCAGAGTCTAAAATCCTGTAACAATAACTGGGTAAGTACTATGACTCCGACTGAGGGTCACACAGCAGAAAAAAAAAAATTTAATCACGAACCATGAGAGACCCGGGATTTCAACCTTCCTTAACTGTAGTGTTTCTTGTTTGCAACTGGACTAAGTCACTCAGGCCACACCTAGTGCTTGCACTCCACCACATCATTACGGTAGACAGTAGGCATGGCATATTTCAGTTGGACTGCTTAATGGTGTATTATGCAGATATGCATCTTTTAGCATCTAAAAGGCAGTTTTATAAGAATTTTTCATTGGCTAATTGTTTTTTAATCTGAATTTCAATATAGTGTACATTTTAGTCAACTTTTTTTTTTTAAAGAAAATTCTTGTTTTTTATATTCATGAATGATGTCTTGAAGGTATATTTATACATGATTTATGCAGGGATTCTGATTAGCCAGACTTGAATCCTACAGATGGAAAGTACAGTTCTTGCACTCTGGAGGGTCGTTTGAATTGTGATGTCTACACACTTTCACCATAACAACTGTTGAATAATTGATGATGAATGTGTTTCCGCTTGGTAGTAGCATGTTAAACATCACCTGCCCAGGGAGATACTACTGTTCTGCCAAGTGAGTGTAAAATGAAAGCCTGTAATTGTTTTATATGATGGTAGGATTGCTGGTGTCCTTTTTTCTGTCTCATAAATATGCAAGATTTCAGATTACGTCTTGCTACTTCTACTTACACTTAGGTCACATTACACTTGCATGTACAAGCATATACAGTGGGACCTCTACTTATGAGCGTGTCCACGTGCAAGTTTTTCCAAATACGAGCAGTCGATGAGTCGATTTTTTGCTTCCATACATGAGCAAAATTTCCACAAGTGAGCAGACCTCAAGGCAGGTTCCATGACACTCGTGAGGGGCTCTTGCTCTTGATCTTGGGAATTGTATCTCATTTGTTTGTTGGACTATCTTATTGAAACTTGGGCAATGTATGATGGAAAATGAAAGAAATGTAAGCATAAATAATGGAGTTCACTTCTCAGCAATTAGCCACTCCTTAGCGGTAATTTTGAATGGATTTTATGGTTGTATTCTTGTTTGTTTGGTCTCATTTGATAGAATGAAAGATATATTACAGAAATAGATATGATTTTTAATTGCTTTCACGACAAAAAGTACCTTGAAATAGAGCTCAACCTAGGAGAAATGGTCTATTGCTTGGCTTTTTCAGAGTCCATTCCAATATGCAGTCGTGAATGGGTTGACATTATTCATACAATTATTGCAATAAGGAATAACAGTAAAGCTTATATTTTTTGTGTGAATAAAAATTACAAATTATTTATATAATAATAATAATACTGTAATAATAATAATAATAATATGTATAATAATAATACGTATAATAATGACATATTTTATTCATTCTTGAGTATATATCATGTTTCTATGTTATTTTTATTGTTTGTTGGGCCATATTAGATGAACTGTGATATATAAATAAGCCGTATAGATGATATTAGTGAAATTATTCATGAAGTATTTTGCCCGGTCTCCAGACAAACTCTCGTCCACTGCTGACACCGCCCATACCACTACATGAATGACATATTTTATTCATTCTAGAGTATATATCATATTTCTATGTTATTTATATTGTTTGTTATGTCATATTAGATGAACTGTGATAGATAAATAAGCCGTAAAGATGATATTAGCTAAATTATTCATGAAGTATTTTGCCTGGTCTCCAGACAAACTCGTCCACCGCCGACACCGCCCATACCACTACATGAATGATATATTTTATTAATTTTAGAGTGTATGTATCAGGTTTGTATGTTATTTATATTGTTTATTATGTCATATTAGATGAAGTGAGATAGATAAATAAGCCGTGGAGTTGATATTAGCGAAATTATTGAAGTACAGAATTCCACTGGAACGGATTAATTGCATTTCAGTTAATTTAAATGAGGAAAATTGACTCTGCAAACGAGCAAATCCAGTTGCGAACAAGGTCATGGAACGGATTAAACTCGCAAGTAGAGGTTCCACTATATATACACACCCCTCTGGGTTTTCTTTTATTTTCTTAGTTATTGTTCTCGTTTATTTCCTCTTATCTCTGTGGGGAGGTGGAACAGAATACTTCCTCCATAAGCCATGCATGTCATAAGAGGCAACTAAAATGCTGGGAGTAAGGGGCTAGTAACCCCTTCTCCTATATATATTACTAGATTTAAATTTTCATTTTGTCTTTTGGGCCACCTCGCCTCGGTGGGATATGGCCAGTTTGTTGAAAGAAGAAGAAGAATGTGTTTCCTCTTTTGTGTCACCCAACCTCACTGGGAGATGGCCGTGTGTTAAAAAGTCAAATAACTCTCTATTTACCTTTCAGGAATTTGAGTGTAGCATTTGCTGGGGAGAGTGGGCCTGTAAGGTATGACAAACTGTGCCCTGGAGAAGTACGTGATCTCCTTCTGTGTTTCCTGCATACACTCAAGCATGTTCCTGAAGCACATTTGGTATCTTGGTGGGCAACACTCAGTAATGAGGCACTGGGTCACTTCTTCACACTCTTTCAGTAAGTAGTACCACTAAGTTAATGCAATATTTCAGTCAAGTTAGTTATAATATCTATGATAATTTTCCAGTTGTCCAGAGATCCACACTATAAATTGCCAAGAGGCAAATGCCACACACAACTAGCTGCTAAATGAAAGCAAAAGTATGTGAGTCAGTATTGATTGAATTCACAGCAACCTTCAATCTATCAGAAAGACAGTGGAAACCAGATGCAACATTAAAATTTGTATTACAGAAAACTTGTACCAGCACTCAACCAACAAAAACTTTTACCACCACTCAACCAACAAAAATAGGTTAACAACCTTTTGAAATTTCCACTCCAGTGACCATGACACATGACTATCATTACCAGACTTTTAATCTTTGTGAAGTAAACGTCTGATCAAGAGATGACATCCAGTGACAGGACACCTGACCATCATAACCACTTGTCTTATAACATTTCAAAATCTAACTTAAATCAATCTCATTATCCAAATTCCAAGAATGTATCTGAAACTTTAAATAAAGGAGTACTTCAGTTGGGATATGGGCTCTGGCAGATCCTACTAACGTACAGCCACTCATGTATCTGTCTAACTTAGTTTGGCCCTTCGTTGATGCTACTTCACATTTTGTTTCACATATTTAATAACTATTGCCAAACCAGTGCTTTCCTCACCTGACCCCACTCTCCCTATATAATATGTTTCCTACACATTCCTTGTATCTGTTGAGGGGGACACCATTTTGAGGTCGAAATATTCAACCAATCTCTTTTGTGTGTTTTATGGTCAACATGTGAGGTTTCTCTCCACACTTTGTAAGCTGTGTTTGGCCATAGTATAAGGCCTTACTTTGTTAAAATTCACAGGTTAGAACTTATATCTGTATATATTTGTTTCTCATATTGCTTATTTCTATTTTTTTTTTTTTCAACAAGTCAGCTGTCTCCCACCGAGGCAGGGTGACCCAAAAAGAAAGAAAATCCCTAAAAAGAAAATACTTTTATCATCATTCAATACTTTCACCTCACTCATACATAATCACTGTTTTTGCAGAGGTGCCCAGATACAGCAGTTTAGAAGCATATATAAAGATATGTAACATATCTCTCCAAACTGCCAATATCCCAAAACCCTCCTTTAAAGTGCAGGCATTGTACTTCCTATTTCCAGTACTCAATTCCGGTTATATAAAAATAACCGGTTTCCCTGAATCCCTTCACTAAATATTACCCTGCTCACACTCATCAGGTCCCAAAAACCACTCGTCTCCATTCACTCCTATCTAATACGCTCACACACACTTGCTTGAAGCCCAAGCCCCCTGCCCTTAAAACGTTCTTTACCCCCTCCCTCCAACATTTTTGAGGACGACCCCTATCCCGCATTCCTTTCCCTACAAATTTATACTCTCTCCATGTCATTCTACTTTGATCCATTCTCTCTAAGTGACCAAACCACTTCAACAGCCCCTCTTCAGCCTCAGACTAATACTTTTATTAACTCCACACCTTCTCCTAATTTCCACACTCCGAATTTTCTGCATAATATTTACACCACACATTGCCCTTAGACAGGACATCTTCACTGCTCAACCTCCTCCTCGCTGCAGCATTTACAACCCAAGCTTCACACCCATATAAGAGTGTTGGTACCACCATACTTTCATACATTCCCTTCTTTGCCTCCATAGATAATGTTTTTTTGTCTCCACATATACCTCAATGCACCACTCACCTTTTTTCCTTCATCAGTTTTGTGGTTAACCTCATCCTTCATAAACCCATCCACTGACACATCAACTCCCATATATCTGAAAACATTCACGTCTTCCATACTCCCTCTCTCCAATATGATATCCAATTTTTCTTTATCTAAATCATTTGATACCCTCATCACCTTACTCTTATCTATGTTCACTTTCAACTTTCTACCTTTACACACCCTCCCAAACTCGTCCACTAACCTTTGCAACTTTTCTTTAGAATCTTCCATAAGCACAGTATCATCAGCAAAAAGGAACTGTGTCAACTCCCATTTTGCATTTGTTTCTCCATAATTTATTCCCACCCCTCTCCCCAACACCCTAGCATTTACTTCTTTTACAACCCCATCTACAATTATGCCTTTTCTAAATCCATAAATGCAATGACAATTTCCCTACCTTTATCTAAATACTGTTCACATATATGCTTCAGTGTAAACACTTGATCTAAACATCCCCTACCCACTCTAAAGCCTCCTTGCTCATCTGCAATCTTTCAATAATAACGCTACCATGCACTTTTCTTGGCATACTCACCCAACTTTTTTTTTTTTTTTAACAAGTCGGCCATCTCCCATCGAGGCAGGGTGACCCAAAAAGAAAGAAAATCCCCAAAAGGAAAATAATTTCATCATCATTCAACACTTTCACCTCACTCATACATAATCACTGTTTTTGCAGATCTCAGAACACAACAGTTTAGAAGCATATATGTATAAAGATACACAACATATCCCTCCAAACTGCTAATATCTCAAAACCCCTCCTTTAGAGTGCAGGCATTGTACTTCCCATTTCCAGGACTCAAGTCCGGCTATATAAAAATAACTGGTTTCCCTGAATCCCTTCACTAAATATTAACTTGCTCACACTCCAACAGATCGTCAGGTCCCAAATACCATTCGTCTCCATTTACTCCTATCAAACACACTCATGCATGCCTGCTGGAAGTCCAAGCCCCTCGCCTACAAAACCTCCCTTACCTCTTCCTTCCAACCTTTTCGAGGATGACCCCTACCCTGCCTTCCTTCCCCTACAGATTTAAATGCTCTCCATGTCATTCTACTTTGATCCATTCTCTCTAAATGACCAAACCACCTCAACAGCCCCTCTTCAGCCCTCTGACTAACACTTTTATTAACTTCACACCTTCTCCTAATTTCCACAATCCGAATTTTCTGCATAATATTTACACCACACATTGCCCTTAGACTGGACATCTCCACTGCCTCCAACCGCCTCCTTGCTGCTGCATTCACAACCCAAGCTTCACACCCATATAAGAGTGTTGGTACTATGCTTTCATACATTCCCTTCTTTGCCTCCATAGATAACATTTTTTGTCTCCACATATACCTCAGTGCACCACTCACCTTTTTTCCCTCATCAGTTCTATGATTAACCTCATCCTTCATAAATCCATTTGCCGACACGTCAACTCCCAAGTATCTGAAAACATTTACTTCTTCCATACTCCTCCTCCCCAATTTGATAACCAATTTTTCTTTATCTAAATCATTTGATACCCTCATCACCTTACTCTTTTCTATGTTCACTTTCAGCTTTCTACCTTTATACACACTCCCAAACTCATCCACTAACCTTTGCAATTTTTCTTTAGAATCTCCCATAAGCACAGTATCATCAGCAAAAAGCAACTGTGCCAATTCCCATTTTGTATTTGATTCCCCATAATTTAATCCCACCCCTCTCCCGACCACCCTAGCATCTACTTCTTTTACAACCCCATCTATAAATATATTAACTCTTTCAGGGTTTCGACGTACTAGTATTGCTTACGCACCAAGGTTATTGACTTACTAGTTCGCCTAAATTCTAGCGCCTTCAAATTTAGCGAGAGAAAGCTGGTATGCCTAAATATGAAAGAATAGGTCTATGTGGTCACTGTGCACAGTATAAAAAAAATCCTGCAGCACACAGTGCGTAATGAGAAAAAAAACTTTGACCGTGTTTTTGGTTTAAAACAGCGACTTTGCTCTGTATTTTCGTATGATGTTTATGGTTGTATTCTAGTTTCCTGGTCTCATTTTATAGAATGGATGATATATTACAGAAATTGAGATGATTTTGATTGGTTTCACAATGAAAAGTACCTTGAAATTGAGCTCAAAGTAGCAGAAATGTTCAATTTTTGCCATAGTTCAAAAGTAAACAAATCATGCCACATGTCCAATACACATCAACTGGTGAGTCTAATATTCTTTCACAAGTGAGCTGATATTATTTATACCATTTCTACACTAATGCAGTAGTCTGCATAACAGTAAATCTTCTATTTTTTTGTGAGAATAAAAATTCAGAGTGGAAAGCAAAAGAAATGTGAGAGGGGCCTGGGGAAGTGACTAATGAACGGAGGAAATGTTATTTTAGTGCCAGGAATGCCTGTCTTGTCTATTCTGGACCCTATTTGGAAATTGGCATCTTTTGAAATTTGTGTGAAATTGGCAAAATTGCTAATTTTTGACAGCTTTATTGGATAGTTGAAATCGGTAAATGGGTGGTTTCTTGTACTCATTCGATACAAAAATTGTAGTTCTAGCAAAATACAGTGGTCCCTCGATAATCGTAGGGCTCGATAGTTGTAATTTTCGGAAATCCTAACGATATTTTCGTAAAAACATTGGTTCACTAATCTTAGATTGACTTGCAAATAGTCATTCGTCCGGGATGTGTACTCATGCTCTGAGCCGCCCTGGCCTCTCTTCCCAGCCAGTGTGGCATTGTTTACCAGTGAGCGACGGTCCCCTCACTTGCTCATACGAAATATTTCATAATCCATTCATTTTAGTGCTTTTTATTTTTTTTATTATCACACCGGCCGATTCCCACCAAGGCAGGGTGGCCCGAAAAAGAAAAACTTTCACCATCATTCACTCCATCACTGTCTTGCCAGAAGGGTGCTTTACACTACAGTTTTTAAACTGCAACATTAACACCCCTCCTTCAGAGTGCAGGCACTGTACTTCCCATCTCCAGGACTCAAGTCCGCCTGCCGGTTTCCCTGAATCCCTTCATAAATGTTACTTTGCTCACACTCCAACAGCACGTCAAGTATTAAAAACCATTTGTCTCCATTCACTCCTATCAAACACGCTCACGCATGCCTGCTGGAAGTCCAAGCCCCTCGCACACAAAACCTCCTTTACCCCCTCCCTCCAACCCTTCCTAGGCCGACCCCTACCCCGCCTTCCTTCCACAACAGACTGATACACTCTTGAAGTCATT